GAAGAACTCGCCTTTTCGCTCTCGATGGGCTAGGCTCTCAGGCCCCCAGATGCCCTCCAGACGGCCCAAGGGGCTCCCGAAGCGACGGAACAGGGCCCCGAGGGAACCTTCACTCAAACGCCTCCTAGAGGCTGCCCCAGGCGCGCAAACGGCTGGATGTTTCAGGAGGCCTCTCTGGGAACATCGGGTTGACGACGACGATGATGATGCTGATGTTCAGTATGGTGGTGATGAAGATGATGATGGCGAAGACGATAACAGTGACGATGTGCACGATTTGCGTAGCGGTGTTGATGATGGTTATGATGATGATGCTGATGATGATGATGGTGATGATGGTGATGATTATGATGATGATTATGATGATGATGATGATGATGATGATGATGATGATGATGATGATGATGAAGATGATGCTGATGATGATGATGATGGTGGTGGTGGTGGTGGTGGTGGCGGGAGTGATGATGAAGTTGACGAGTCGGGTGAGGGTGATAAAGATGATGATGATGAGGAGGAGGAGGAGGAGAACGTTGATATGAAGATGAGGATGAGGATGATGGTGGTGTTGGTAATGCTGACCATGATGACCATGCTGATGATGATGATGATGATGATGATGATGATGATGATGATCATGCTGGTGCTGGTGATGATGGTGATGATGATGATGGTGGTGATGATGACGATGACGATGGTGATGATACTGATGATGACACTGATGCTGAGGATGATGATGATGAGGCGGATGAGGATGAGTATCAGGATAACGATGAGGATGTTGAAGATGAGAATGAGGATGGGGAGGAGGATGATAATGATAATGATAATGATGGTGGTGCTGATGATGATGGCTAGACTGGGGATTAGGCTGGGGACGCTGATGATAATGATGATGATGATGATGATGATGATGGTGAACTTGATGCTGGCTAGTATGACAATGGTGGTCATATTGATGACGATTCGGATGAGGATCTGGATGAGGATGAGAATGATATTGATGATGATGCGCGAGTTTAACGTGACAGCATGACTAGCAGCATTGGGCCAAGGGTGTTCCCCATGGTGTTGTTGTAGTTGTTGTGCTGGTAATGATGAGTATGAGGGTGAGGACGGGCATGAGGATGAGGGTGAGGATGCGTACGACCATATCGCGCGCTTGTGCATGACAGCCCAGCCCAAGTTTTTCCGACGACCATCCTGGCCTGCGCTGTAATTTGAGCGCTCGCGAAGCGCGCGCGCGCGATGGTTCTAGACTACATCTATATAGATAAGAGTGAGAGGCCCGAAAGGTCAGTCACTTTCCCTGGGTGCGTGGCTGAAGTGGGGGCGGATTATTGGTGCGGTGTTGTTTGTTGTTGGTGTTGCTGATGTGTTTGTGGTTTTTGTTGTTGTTGTTGCTGCTGTTGTTGTTCTGGTTGATGATGTTACTGTTGTTGTTGCTGTTGTTGTTGGTGTTGTTGTTGTTGTGGTGGTGTTGTTGTCGTTGTTGTTGTTGCGGTTGTTGTTGTTGGTGGTGGCGGTGTTGTTGGTGTTGTTGGTGTTATTGTTGTTGTTGTCGTTGCTGATGTTGCTGTTGCTGGTGCTATTGCTGTTGCTGCTGCTGTGGCTGTCGCTGTTGTTGTCGTTGTTGGTGTTGTTGTTGTTGTTGTTGCTGTTGCTGTTGCTGTTGCTGTTGCTGCTGCTGCTGTTGTTGTTGCTGCTGCTGTTGTTGTTGTTGAACATTATTAATTTTAAAGAATAATTATTGTTGGGACCCCTGGTGCGCGCCCCCCCCGCCGCGCCTAGGCCGCAGCCACATTTTCATCATTTTCGTGAGGAAGTCTCAGGCAAAACGGGGTGTCCGGATCCGGTTGTGTTGTTACGATCGGTTTTCCCTTGCAAAAAATAAGGCAAAGTGGACATTTCTTGTTCTAACATGACCAAACTTCAAGAATCCCTTGCAAAAAATGACACGAAGTGCACATTCGCGCGCGCAAGACGAAATCCTTCCAAAACCTTAGTCTTCGTAGCGATTTTCACATAAAAACATGAAAAACCCAATGGTTTTTCAAAAAAAGGGTTTCAAAAATTCACCCCGCGCGCTCTTGCGGATTTCTTAGGAAACCCAATACTTTTTCAACATTTCTGTCAAACGGGCTCTTGCGAGCAACTTTTTCACGTGCTTCGAACTTCTGCAACAAAGGTTGCGCGCCTGCCAGGGCCATCATCCCTGTCAAATAATACCATGTGGGACACATTCGTTTTTTCTTCGCGCGCGCACGCCGAAATCTTCAAAAATCATTGGGTTTCTTAGGAATTTTAGCACCGCGCAACATAAAATCATACGAATCGCACCGTAGGTTCTCGAAAAACATCTGTACGAATTTTCAAAATTTTTACGAACAGGGGGAAAAGTCGTATACTAAGCTAGCTTCCACAAAATGTTACCACAACAAGTCACTGTACCCATGCGCCAGTGTAGTAGCCAAGGTCGTCCGCAGGCCACGAAGTGAAGTGTCCGAACGTCATAGGGCGGGAAGCTGGGTGTGGGTGGTGGCGAAGAGTCGTTTGGAAATTTGGTAGAGCTTGAACCGGCCCCCCCACAAAGTGGGGGTATTGCCCGCCTCCTATGAAAACCCTGGCACTGGTGAGAACGGAGTGTCCCCAGTCTTAATGATTGTTGTTGTTGTTGTTGTTGAACATTATTTATTCTAAAGAATAATTATTGTTGGGACCCCTGGTGCGCGCCCCCCCCGCCGCGCCTAGGCCGCAGCCACATTTTCATCATTTTCGTGAGGAAGTCTCAGGCAAAACGTGGGTGTCCGGATCCGGTTGTTTTGTTGTCCCCCGTTTTCCCTTGCAAAAAATAAGCTAAAGTGGACATTTCTTGTTCTAACATAACCAAACTTCAAGAATCCCTTGCAAAAAATAAGGTAAAGTGGACATTCGCGCGCGCAAGACGAAATCCTTCCAAAACCTTAGTGTTCGTAGCGATTTCAACATAAAAACATCAAAAAACCAATGGTTTTTCAAAAAAAAAGTGTCAAAATTTCATCCCGCGCGCTCTTGCGGATTTGTAGGAAACCCAACACTTTTTAAACATTTCTGTCAAATGGGCTTTTCCGAGCAACTTGTTCACGTGCTTCGAACTTCTCCAACAACCGTTGCGCACCTGCCAGGGTCATCATCCCTGTCAAATAATACCATGCGGGTCCACCGTCGGAACAACCATCGGGACCACCATCGGAACAACCATCGGGACAACCATGGGGACAACCATCGGGACAACCACAACCATCAGGACAACCATCGGGACAACCATCGGGACAACCATCGGGACAACGATCGGGACAACCATCGGGACAACCATCGGGAGAACCATCGGAACAACAATCGGGACAATCATCGGGACAATCATCGCGACAATCATCGGGACAACCACAACCATCAGGACCTCCCACCAGAGAGAGGTAGCCACGTGTATTTCGTAGACGAATGAGCCAGTATTGCACATTGAGGCCGGAACGACAACCACAGAACAAGAATGAGCATATAACAACAACGGAAACAAGTCCTGTGGTATGCTGGCGCCACGCACGTGGTACCACTCAAAATAATCTTTGCTTGTGTGGTACAGAAACGGAAAAACGTCGGAAAACGGTACAGGTGTCCAGTGTTGGAACAGGGGGATAAGTCGTATACTAAGCTAGCTTCCACAAAATGTTACCACAACAAGTCATTGTACCCATGCGCCAGTGTAGTAGCCAAGGTCGTCCGCAGGCCACGAAGTGAAGTGTCCGAACGTCATAGGGCGGGAAGCTGGGTGTGGGTGGTGGCGAAGAGTCGTTTGGAAACTTGGTAGAGCTTGAACCGGCCCCCCCACAAAGTGGGGGTATTGCCCGCCTCCTATGAAAACCCTGGCACTGGTGAGAACGGAGTGTCCCCAGTCTTAAATGATTGTTGTTGTTGTTGTTGTTGTTGTTGTTGTCTCACTCGCGACCCACCCGCGACCTGGCCCGCGACCCACCCGCGATCCGCCCGCGACTCCCCCGCGACCCACCCGCGACCCACCCGCGACCCACCCGCGACCCACCCGCGAACCACCCGAGACCCACCCCGCGGCCCACCCTCGACCCACCTGCGACCCACCCGCGACCCACCCCGCGCCCGGCCCACTCACTCTCATCCGCAACTGCAGGGCGCTACATATACCACCCTTGCGCAATTCCGAAGCGCCACATCTCTCGAGACACCCACTCCGTTCTACTCTTGAAGAGGCTCATGTAGCTTTGCAAGTCTTGCTTGCTTGGCTTGCGAGTGAAGGCGGGGGGGCAGATGGAGTCTGGCCAGCAGGAGGGGCAGGAGTGTAGACGACAAGCGGAGGAGAGAGGAGGGGTGAGGGAGGATGGGGTGAGGCCAGCAGGAGGGACTGGAGAGCACACGCCGGGCATGGGTGAGGGAGAAGGGGGGAGGGAGGATGGATCCAGGCCAGTAGGATGGGCAGGAGTAGTAACGTACACGTCATAGGGGAGGGCAGGGAAGGGGAATGGGGTGGAGGGTGGAGGGTGGAGGGAGTCAGGCTAGTAGAAGGGGCATCATCGAGCACTCTGGAATTTCAGTTCCATTTCGTTTCCATGTTTTTCTTTTTCCCGCGACCCGCGGCTACGGCCAGCGCAGATCCGCGCGTCGTCACTCGTCCAAGTGAGGATCTCGAATCAGCGCCGATCCAAGAGCGCGGAATTCCGAGGGTGTATGTTTACAAGTTGTTCTGTATCCCCCCCTGGCTCGCCAACCTCCTCCTCCGCTTCCGTCCCCAGCAGGCGCCGCCCCGCTTCCGCCGGGCCCCGCCCTGCCTCTCTCCCGTTGCCCTGGCCTGGTTGCGGCAGCGGCAGCTAGGCGAAGAAGCGCCTCCCGGGCCGGGTCTTCGCTTCTTGCGGGGATGACCGAGATCGCTTGCAAGATGCATCGTGGCTCCCCTCCCGCGGCCCCCGCTCCCGCGCTCCTCGTGCCGCCGCAGGCCGGGCGCGCCGCTCGGCGCGCGCCGCTCACCCCGCCGCGCGGTCGCCCTTTTCTTCCTACCCCCCGCCCTCCCCCCTCCCCCCCAATCCCTCCCCATCCATCCTCATCCTCCGACGGAGAACACACTGCACACACACACACACATATATATATATATATATATATATATATATAATGCGGAGCTCGGCACAAGTTTCTTGGATCGTGCTGGGCCCCCCCTGACGGCTCCTCCAGCGCAGCGCCTGGCGCGCTCCGCGCGCCAGGGACGGGGGGGGCAGCGCAGATCCAAGACATATCCGTGGAGCTCCGAAAGTTTGTGTAGTACCCCGCAGTTGCGGACAAGAGTGAGGGGGAGGGCGCGGGGTGGGTCGCGGGTGGGTCGCAGGTGGGTCGCGGGGTGGGTCGCGGGTGGGTCGCGGGGTGGGTCGCGGGTGGGTCGCGGGTGGGTCTCGGGTGGGTCGCGGGTGGGTCGTGGGTTGGTCGCGGGTGGGTCGCGTGTGGGTCGCGTGTGGGTCGCGGGTGGGTCGCGGGTGGGTCGCGGGCCGTCGCGCGTGGGTCGCGGGCGGGTCGTTGGTGGGTCGCGGGCGGGTCGCGGATGGGTCGCGGCCCGGGTCGCGGGTGGGACGACGACGAAGACAACAACAACAACCATCTTGCGATCATCGGGTGTAACAAGCAATTGTGGCCTTCATGTGTTTTCCCCTCTCCCTCGCACCCGCCCGCGAAGTCATTGGACCAACCCCCTTTGGGGGGGATTCGTTTCATACCAGCTCCTGGGAGAAGGATTCGGTACTCTCTATGCGCACCACATCGCCACGGCCGCCAAACGTGCTAACGCGCCCGCGGGTCAAGGCGTCTCGGAGTAAATTGAGGAGAGGAGGTATCGAGCGGGAGCCGTTGTCGTCGTAGCTGCCCACCCCCCTCCCCAACTTGAACGAATTGCGAGGAGGATTCGAGTCAGACCGCAGTTCCTGAGCTTCGAAGCTTCTCTGGCCAGGGCCTCTCGAAGTAAATCGCGCAGAATTGTCGGGCGAAAGCTGCTGTCATCGTAGCGGGGCGTCCACGAACGTGCGTGAATCGTGAGGATGTCTCCAGCCAGGGCGCAGTTCCTGAGCTTCGAGGCCTCTCTGGCCAGAGCGTCTCGGAATAAATCGCAGGGAAGTGTCGAGCGGGAGCCGCTGTCGCCGTCGATGGAATTCCACGAGCTTGCATGAATTGCGAGGATGTCTCGAGCCAGAGCGCTGTTCCTGGGCTTCGAGGCCTCTCTGGCCAGAGCGGCTCGGAATAAATCGCAGGGAAGTGTCGAGCGGGAGCCGCTGTCGCCGTCGCTGAACTCCACGAGCTTGCGTGAATTGCGAGGATGTCTCGAGCCAGAGCGCTGTTCCTGGGCTTCGAGTCGAGGCCTTTCTGGCCAGGGCCCGTCGGAGTAAATTCCGAGGAAGTCCGTTCCTGAGCTTCGAGGCCTCTCTGGCCAGGGCCCGTCGAAGTACATTTCGAGGAAGTATCGAGCGGGAGCCGTTGTCGTCGTAACCGGGCCCACAAAGGCACACATACACAATCACGCCCCCGCACGAGCAGGAGCATCGTTTTCACAGAACATGAGGCCGGCGTCGAGGCGAGAGTGCCCAGGCAATTTTCCGGAGATCAGCAGTAATTATTCGTTAGAAGTGAGTATTCAATCATTTTAAGATTGTTCGCTCTTATCTGCTCGCGCGTACCTCACCATGTATATCCCCAACTTCGGTACCCGCCCTGTTCGTGTTCGATCGTACCCCCTCTGGGGGGTACATCTTCCTGACCTGCCACGTGTATTGGGCGGGAAAAGAGAGAGAAAGGAGAGAGAGAGAGAGAGAGAGAGAGACAGAAAGAGAGAGGGAGAGAGAGGGAGAGGGAGAGAGCGAGGAGGAAAGGAGTGGGGGAAGGGAGGGAGGCAAGGGACAACAGGGAGGGAGCAGAACTGCGGACGAGAGAAGCAGCAATGGAGCCACTGAAGGGCAGCAGCGGGGCCACGAAGGGCAGCAAGGGGGCCAATGAGGGCACGAGCGAGCGGGGGCCACGAAGGGCGTATGCATGGGCCACCAAGGGCAGCAACGGGGCCACAACGGGCAGCGATGGGGGCCACTGAGGGCAGTAGTAGGGCAACGAAGGGCAGCAATGGGGCCACTGAAGGGCATTGACGGAGCCACGAAGGGCAGCAAGGGGGCCACGAGCGGCTACGCTTGGGCCACGAAGGGCAGCAACGGGGCAGCTGAGTGCGCAAGCGACGGGGGGCCACGAAGTATATATGGGCTGAGGGCAGCAGCGGGGCCACAATGGGCAGCGGGGGGGGGGCACAAGGAGTTATGTCTGTGCCACGAGGGGCAGCAATGGGGCCATTGAGGGCACGAGAGACTGGGGGCCACGAAGGGCTAACATGTGGGCCACATAGGGCAGCGAGGGGGCCACTGAGGGCAGCGGGGGGGGGGCACACGCGGCTACACTGGGGCCACGATAGGCAGCAATGGGGCCATTGAGGGCACGAGCGATTGGGGGCCACGAAGGGCGTATACATGGGCCACAAAGGGCAGCGATGGTGCCACTGAGGGCAGCAGCGGGGCCACGAAGGGCAGCAATGGGGCCACTGAGGGCACAAGCGACTGGGTGCCACGACGGGCGTATAGATGGGCCACAGAGGGCCTACGCCAGGGCAACGCAGGTCAGCAATGGGGCCACTGAGGGCACGAGCGACTGGGGGCCACGAAGGGCGTATACATGGGCCACAAAGGGCAGCGAGGGGCCACTGAGGGCAGCATCGGGGCCACGAAGGGCAGCGACTGGGCCACAAGGGGAGTGACCACGAAGGGCAGCAATGAGGCACAGAGGGCGCGAGCGAGCATGGGGCACGAAGGGCATGGCCCTGACGGGCGGGCCGAGCGGGCGGATCGATCATGAGTTCTGCGTGATAAGCCAGGAAGTTCCGCGGCGCCTGAGCAAATTGCGAGGAAGTCTCAGGCGGGAGCTCGATTCTTGAGTAAATTGCGAGGAAGTCTCAAGCGGGAGCTGGGGACCGTAGTACATTTCGAGGAAGTATCAAGCGGGAGCAGTTGTTGTTGTAAAACGGGGGCCAGGGGCACAGTTTGAGGAGGAAGATTTTCCCTGATGAAAAAACTGAGTATGAGCGCCGGGAGGGGCACTTCAATTGAGAAATACAATGTCCACCGGAGAGGGGGGGATCAATCATATTTATTATTCAGTAACGAGAGTTCAACAACAATAAACATCAACAAACAACAACGCAAAAACAATCCGCTTCGCGGAACCCCATTTCAGCCACGCACCCAGGGACAGTGAAAAACCGTTGTTCGGGCCCCTTACTCTGATGTTTACATACGTAGCTATTTTTTATGTTACAACCCTTCACAGAAAAACGCAGGCGACCACGACCGCGGCGGACCACTGCTCTGGAATCCCTCGATGGATCAAGGAAGCTCGATGGGCACCAGCGCTTGCTGGGCCTCCTGCGGGCACTGGCAGGACGAGGCGATCCTTGAGCGCCCCCTGACATCCGACAGTATGATGTTTCAATGTGCGGCCCCAGAGGTTCCAACCCCTTCTCGAGCTGTAGTTGCTCGTTCCGCAGCGGTTTTTGAAGGTCCCGGGGCCCACCAACGGCCTCCAGCGGCGGGAATCGAGGGGAAGACCTCCCAGACAGGACAAAACACCTCGTCGGAGATCTGCGCCCCCTGCCACGAGCGGCGAACATCTCCGCATCCGCGCCCTCGCGGTCTGAATTCCAGGGTGCGGTCCTGGCCCGCCAGGCCCCCGATACCGATATGTTTGTCCCCCCCGAGTTTGTGATCTGCGTCCACTGCCGCTCCCCCGCCGCGCCGCGCCTCGATGGGGGCCCGCAGCTGCGGCCCGCCCTGCGCCGGGGAGGACTGCGATCTGCCTGGCGGCGCGGAGCCAGGCGAAGCCCCGGAGGGGGTCAGGGGCAACGCTAGGCTCAGGGGGGACTCGACCCTGCTTGAGCACGCCATCATCGCGGCGCAGCTGCGGAGTGATGAGCTCAGAGGGGGTGCATCGAACGTTTTCTAGAGCTTTCGTGAGGTTTCTCAGGTTTTCGGGACCGAGGGTGGTCTCCATCTGCTGCGCCTCGTCGAGGGCGCTCCGGGGGTGCCGGAGTCGTCCCAAACGGCCGCCGCAGGCCCGAGTTAGGGCCCGAAAACCAGACGACGAGGGGGGGGGAAGACTCAGTGGGGGATGCATCGGCCCTCAATCGCCAATTCATCGCCGATAAGGGGCCCAACAGCCCACCCCGCCTAGGAGCGTGTGGATTCGCTGTCAATGATGATTCCTACCCTGAGCGGGCCCCCCCCGAACGTTGGCCTCGGGTTGCGCACGGACAGCCCCTCCAGGTAGTCCCGGCTGGCCTCAACAGGCCCCCCCGAGTAGTCTGGGGCGTTCTCAACACCCTGGCGCTGCCTCTGGCGGCGCCCCTGGGGCGCTCCGCGCCCCAGGGTTAGAGGTGCCTGGACTCCTCGGGGGCCGAGGCCAGCCAGGACTACCTGAAGGGGGGCCGGCCGGACGCGGGGGACGGCCGGGGGGGTCCGGCATTGGAGCGGCGGCATGCGGCCACGGTCGGCACGGGTCGCGTCGACGCGACGGCGGCCCCAGCACGGGTCGTTCGAGGGTGGACGCCGCCGGTGGCCCCGAGTCGGCAGGTCTCGAGCGATCCGTGCACTGGGCAAGCCGCGGTCGTCGCAGGTTTCGCGGTGCACGCGCGCGAGGCTCCCGAGCAGTCCTGTCGACTGCTCGGCCCTGTGCAGGGCGTGGTCTGCGCAAGCGGTCTACCAGCCAGGCAGCGTGGAAGGTCAAGGAACGCGGCAGACCTGCACCACGGGGAGGCTGGGAGGGGGGAGTCGGAGGGGGGGGGAGAGCGAGGGAGGAGGCCTCACCACTTGCTCACGCAGAACTCGTGGCACTGCTTCTCTCCACCTCCGATGTTTGCAGTGCCTGTTTCGGAGAATGCGCGCAAAGTTGCTCGCAGAGCTTGTTGCGGTCATCACTCCATTGCTGCGGTGGTCTGCCTCGTGTTCGTGTGCGGGCCGACGGTACCTGCCGCAGGAGGGGCACCCGCTCGTCGACTCTTGCGCTGAGGAGCCGGCGAGCTGGCCACCGCTCCGAAGGAGAGCACTTCTCTGCGACGTCCGGGGCGAGGCTGCCGTAGACGACGAGGTGGACACGCCCTCCTGCATCCTGCGCATCGTACTCTGCCAGCTCTCCTCTTCCACTCGCCTCCGGCCCGCCACATCTCGCAGCACCTCTGTCTGCGCTCCCCAGGGCACAGCGTGGCGCGGCGGCTTCAGCGCCAAGTTGGCCATCCCGCGCGCCTGGACCGGCAGCACTGCAGAGTTGAACAGCTTCACGCGGTGACCGGCCCCGAGATGCTGGTTTATGAGTATCTGGCGTTTCTCCTAAAACCGGTGCCACGCAGCTGATATCCTTCTCTTGACGGCAATTGTTGCCCTGTCTTTTGACAGGAGGGCTCCCCCCTAAATATGCGTGGGACTCGTCCGGAGGAAGCACGTGGAAGCATGGGCCAGCAATCCACCCATTTTGCAAGTGCCGGGTGGCGTGCCGACGTTTCTCGAGGATCAGATGTCCGTCTTCTGGGCGTTCAGTTGCAGCCCGGCCGCCTCGAACTCCTCTGTCAGCAGCGAAAGCATGACATTTGCGTCCTCCAGTGGCATAAATCTTTCTGCTTCACCCGGGTTGTTCCACCCTTGCCTTCTGAGGCGGCCCTTCCACCTGCTGAAAACCATCTCCATGACTGCATTGAATAAGCACGGGCTTGGGACGTCACTCTGTCGAACGCCCCAGGAGAGCTCAAAGACTTCGCTCGTACCAACTTGGCCCGTCTGCCCCCAGCACAGCGCTTGCAGCAAACAAGCGTGAACCTCATCTACACTTTGCTACACGATGACTTCTATGACATATTCGTGAATCATGTTCTCAAACGCCTTGCTAATTACGGCCCAAACTGACTATCACGATCCATGGGTCCCCACAAATTCGCACAAATCGTCTCGCGGATGTCAGCCGCAATTTCCAGGAATCTGGACACGGTATCACACATGGGGCGCCCCAGCAAGGGTCCTCCTCTTCGAGGGGCCGGAGAGTTAGCTTCTCTGTTTCGGCGGAGGGCCGGCCGAGGCCAGAGGAAGGGCCGCGGAAGTTGCATGCCCGACGGCAACATTCCGGGCGGAGTCGGCCATTTGAGCAGCAGCATGCAGGTGATTTACTGCCACGCTGGATATACAGAACGTGTCGGGCAGGTGGTAGTGAGGGCTGACCTACATGGGGGGTGAATGGGGGGTGAAGAAAAGGGCCACCCGCCCGAACGTGGTTGGGCGAGAGCTTGACACGCGTGTGCTCGCATGTCTTTTCCAGCGCTCGGCCACTGCGCGTCGATCGGGGGGCGAGGGACGGAGGGAGGACAGAGGAGGGAGGACGGAGCAGAAAGGACCCGTCTGCAATGGCCAGCTGGTCGCAGGAACTTGTTGCAGTTTGCTCCGACATGTGCGTCTATGGCCGAGCCGTGCGCGAGCGTCCCGAGGTGCCCATGAGCAACTCGACGCGGGATGCCTGCGCTTCCTGTCCAGTACCCCTCCCGCGCCCCCCCCTTGGGTCGCTTCCCCATGCACGGGAAGAGAACGGGGGAAGATGGCTGAGCCATTTGAAGTACACCGCCCGCGGCTCGCTGGACCAGTGGCCACCGACGGCACGGCGATCGCTCTGGGCGATCCTCGCCTTCGCCGTGCTGCGCGCAGCGTGGCCGGCGCCAACGGGGGCCTGACTGTCTGGGGCGCCTGCAAGGGCCAGATCCGACGGTCTACTGGGCGGAGGTCTGCGCCGTCATGTTCGCGCCGCAGAACGCAGGCCTGCTGCTGGTGGACAGCGAGGCAGCGGCTCGTGCCCTGGGGCGTCTTGGAAGCGCCGCGGCAGCTTGCGAAGCAAGCGACGCTCCCGACCGCTGGGGCCAGGCCGCACACCTCGCCGTCCCTCCGTGGACAGGTGGGGCGTGGCATGGGCCCCGGTTCACAACGACGACCTGGAACCAGCGAAGGTCGAGCGCCGGCTGCGGCGCGCTTGCCAGCAGGCCCGCTGGGCCGAAGAATGGCCGCAGGCACACGGGGGCGCGGACACCGCTGCAGAGCGCGGCCTTCGAGGTCACGCACTCCTGGCGGGCGCATCAAGCCGTGCCCAGGACAGAAAAGGCCGGGATTGTTCTCGGTCATGTGGCGGCGACCGTGGCCCAGGAAGCCGGCGGAGGTTGAGCGCCGCGCCCAGGCCCGCGCTGTTTTGTTTCTCCACCCCTCCTCCAACGCGGCTGTGCGAAAGAGCCGGGCCGCGTAAGTTTGAGCTTTGTGTTTGCCTCCTTCGCCTCCTCCATTTGCCTCTCCCCATCCCGCCTGGAAAGTGACTCCAGAACGTCGCACCGCATTTTCTCCGCTGGTGGCAGCCACAATGCGACTGAGACCCCGCAGAAACACACGACCTCCACGACCAGCTACGTCCTACCCCTTCCTCCTATTCCTCCTTCGATCAAATGAGGAAAACACCCCGACTCCCAGAACTTGCGTTTGCTAAACTGTTCCGCGCGCTCACCAAAGGGCCCTGCCCTGTCCGATTCCCTTCTTAGGTGGTGCGTTTGCTGAAGAGGCTATTTCGTCAGGATGTGCCTTATGCGGTTGGATAGTTTCCCTTGTATTCTAGTGTTTCTCCTTCCCCTCCTCGTCCTCCAAAACCTCATCGCGGGGCTCCCCTTCCGAGGTCTTCAGCCAGCTGACAGTTTTCCTCATTGTGCACATCATCATCCTTCTCCTCTTCCTATTATATGTGTGGTGGTATTCTCCACACTGGCAACCCGTGGCCATTTAACTCTCGAAGACGGCGTCACCTTGAGGGGTGGATCTGAACGAGCTGGCAGCAACAAAACAAGCAACGGTCACATAATAGGTTTCACATTTCTCATGGAACTCCTTATGCTGGTTGTCCTCCTCTTTGTTGTCGTCTTCATGATGTTAGATACGTGTCCAGCGCAGCGCTCCGTAGCTGGGATCTCAGCTACCCGGCAACCCCCCCAGACCCTTTGCGCCCAGACCCACATTGCAGTATTCTTCCTTCTGATCATCATCATCATGTCATTCCTCCCCCTGCTCCTCATTAGCCTCCGCATCCTCCCTCTGATTGTCCTCCTCTCTCCGTGTCCTCTTCCTCCTCGCCTCCAGAACCGCATATCGTTACTTGTGCCCCCATATCTGATGACCTCCTCCGTCCTGGGCGGAAGGTGGCAAGCGCCGATCCAGAAGTGTCGGGGGCCTCTGTGTTGTGGGATTTGGTATGTTCGCCGTCGCTAGGGTTTGGTTCGGCTCCTGATCCTGTCCCTCGCGCATGTCTTTGCACGCGATAGAATGGCGGGTTAGATGCAGCATTTGTGGTAATTCATCGCCAGCTTCAACTAAGCCAAAGGCCGATGTGGGGAGTGCGTGAGCCTCTAGGTTGGGGGAGTTGGCCAGCTCGCTGATGGCATGCACCAGACCCGTGTCGCCATGAACAGGACCCGACTCTGGGTCGTGGAGCTCTCGACCCCGACTCAGCCCAGTTTCCCCGCGCGGCGTCGACCTATGAGGGCGTTGCGGCACGCAGCCCGCGACATGGCGGGCGAAGCTCGGAACAGGGACGCCCGTCGATGCGCCCTGACCCGCGACGTCGGAGGAGGAGGGGGGGGGGGGGGGGGAAGGGCCCCCGCTGCACGGAAGGCGGTGTCTGCTGCGGCGGCGCGCTGCGCCCCGCTGCCTGCGGCCTGGCGCCCTGTCAGGCGCGAGGGGCTCCCGGGCTTGGTGCGGCGGTGCAGGCAACGTCAGGGAGGGGGCACAGGACGGCACGCACCCCTCCTTCCTCCTCCCCCTCCGCAGCGGGCCACGGCCTGCGCTGCGCCGCCTCCCCCTTTGCCCCCCACCGCGGGCCAGGAGGAGGAGGAGGAGGAGGAGGAGGAGGAGGAGGAGCGAGAGGAGCGAGAGGAGCGGAGGGGAGGCGGAGGCAAGAGGCGTCAGAAAAGGGAAGGCACCGCGGGAGCAGTGGGCGGGCCTGGCTCCTGCGTTGCGCCTCCGTTTGCAGAAGCGGGGCGCGAGGTGGAGGAGCAGGAGGAGGAGACAGATCATCTTGATCACGCCACCCCCACTCCCAGGAGCGCGCATACTCCAAGCCCACATGGGACCTACACATGACTTTCCTTTCATTCCACTTGTGCACTTGCTGGCGTAATTTGCAGGCCTCTGTGCCTAAGTTCATATACTGCCTTTGCTTCAAGGAAAAACGCAACAGCTCCGTCGTTGATGGATGCCTAACCCCCAAGGGAAGGGGAGACAGAACTCGATAACGGCTCATCTTCAGCCGGCACAGACAGCAATTACAACAGAATCAAGTGCAAGGGGCGTGAGGAGGGCGGGGACGAGGAGGAAAAGGAGGAGGGCGGGGAGGAGGAGGTGAAGCTGGAGCTGGAGCTGGAGCCGTAGCAGCTCGACGAGGCGGCCAGGAGGAGGAGCGGCGGCCAGGTAGAGTGCGCGGTGCGGCGGCTGCTGCTGGAGAGGCGGGGCGAGGACGCGGCGTGGCCCGAGCGGGCCGCGCAGCAGGCGGGGCGCTCGGGGGTCGGGAGCGCCGCCGGAGACGCCGCGGCGCGCCCTCTTCGGGTGAGGAGCCAACGCAAATCCGAGAAAACACTCCTCCTCCTCCTCCTTCTCCTCCTCCTCCTCCTTCTCCTCCTCCTCCCTCCTCCTCCTCCTCCTCCTCCTCCTCCTCCTCCTCCTCCTCCTCCTCCTCCTCCTCCTCCTCCTTCTCCTCCCTCCTCAGTTAAGAGTCACAACCGCTTTAATTACATGTGCTATGCACCCGCAAATGCGGATAAGAGTGAGGAGGCGGCAGGCTCGTCGGCAGTCTGCGAGGCTCTGATGAGGCCCGCCGCAGGCGCCGGCCTTTGACACATTGTACAACGAGACCGCCGCACGCACCGATCGTTCCGTCAAAGCAATGCGGGTGGGTCGCGCGTCGGTCGCAGGTGGCTCGCGGGTGGGTCACGGGTGGATCGCGGGGTGGCTCGCTGGGTGGGTCGCGGAATGGGTCGCGGGTGGGTCGCGAGGGGGATTGCGGGCGAGGGTGACGACAACAACAATCGTTTTAACAGTGTTCATTCTTACTTGCCCGCGATTCATTCAACACGTATATCCCAAACCCTCGATACCAGTCCTCTCCCCCTCCGGGGGTATATACTCCTTACCTGCACCGTGTAACACGTAGTTCGCGCAGCCCCCAAAACAGGAGAAGGGAGGGAGGAGGGAAGAGACAACGGGGACGGAGACGGACGGAGCATAAGAGAGATTTGCAGGGAGGGGGATAAGTAGCACGAAAACCAAGCGGCAGAAGCAGACGGGCTGGTCGGGCGGGCGGCCCTAACGGGCGGGTCGGGCCGGCGGGCATAGACGGCGGGGTCGAGCGGGTGGGTCGTTGCAGCGCCAGTCGTGTATGAATCGCGAGGAAGTCTTTAGCGATAGGGCGACTTCCATGTAAATCGTAGTGCCTACAGCGAGAGCGTGATTCCTGGCCAAATTGTCAGGAAGTATCAGGCGGGATCCGTTGCTGTCGTTTGTCGGGGGTCATGGGCGCAGTCTGAAGCTCAAGAGTTTCCCAGGGTGCCAGCCCCGGGTGGGGCACTTCGACTGAACAAAACACAATGTGCACCGGAGGGGGGGATCAACAACAATTATCGAAGACGCCTACGGCGAATCACCGCCGCCCCCTGCCTTTGTGTAAGCGCCTATGTGGCCGAACGTTGAGGCCAGACCTGCCAAGCTATCGGACCATGTGTTCCCCGAATCGGTTTGGAGAGCCTTCGGGGAACACGTGGGCATCTTGAAGAGGATCTTGGCCGCCTGGAGGCCATTTTGACTCTTTCGGGCCTGTGGGGTTGGAGGGCTTGTGGGCCGTCTTGGAGGCCATCTTAAGCGTCTTGGAGGCCTCTTGGGCCGTCTTGGGGGCCTCTTGGGGCTGTCTTGGGCGCCTCTTGGGCCATTCTGGGGCCATCTTGGAGGCCTCTTGGGCGATCCTTGGGCGATCTTTGGGAGCTCTTGGGCCATATCGGGCCGTCGGAAGGCCGAAACGAAGCAAATGTCAGAATCCGTCAAAAACCTTAGGACAGTCACTCTTTTCGGCCTTTTCTGGCCTTCCTGGAGGCCCTCTTGGAGGCCTCTTGGGCCGTCTTGGGCCAGGTGCGAGCCACCTTCGGCCATCTTGGTGAGCTCCTAGCCCGTCTGACGCCGTCGGAAGCCGTTTCGGGGGCCTTTCTGGGCCGACTTGGGGCCCTCTTGGGGTGCTTCAGGGCAGTCTTAGAGGCCATCTTGGGCGTCTTCGAGGCCTCTTGGGCCGTCTTGGCGCCCTCTTGGGGCCGTCTTGGGGGCCTCTTGGGCCGTCATGAGGCCATCTTGGAGGCCTCTTGGGCGATCTTGGGGCGACCTTGGCGGCCTCTGGGGCCGTCACGGGCCGTCGGAAAGCCGAAAAGGCGCAAATGCCAAAATCCTTCAAAACCCTATGGAAAATCAACGATTTGGGCCTCGTCGGGCCTTCCTGGAGGAACTCTTGGAGGCCTCTTGGGCCGTCTTGGAGGCCTCTTGCGGGCCTTTTGGGCCGTCTTAGACCATATTGGGGCCGTCTTGGGCCGTCTTGGATGCTTCTTGGGGCCATCTTAGCCGTCTTGGAAGCCATCTTGGTTGTCTTGGAGGTATCTTGCAGGCCATCTTGGGCCATCTTCGCGATTTGTTGAGGAAGTCCGGAGCGAAACGGCCGTTTCTGGTGATGTCAACCACCTCTTCCGGGTGGCCGGCGGGACGGGCCGAAGCCCCAGGGGGAGTTCTTTTGGAAAAAGAACCAAACCAAAACCCATATAGTTTGGCACGCCAGGCACCCCTGAGATGAATCGACAGGGGGCGGCGGATGTATGGCCTTCGGCCCATTCCACCACCCTGCCTGGGTTGTGGGTCTGCGACTTCGTGGATGTTCGTTGGGACCTCGTGCGAGTCCTTTCGGAGGCCTCTTGGAGACAGTTTTGAGGCCCAGGGGGGCTATTTGGGGGCCGCTTGCTCTTGGGGGCCTCTTGGGGCCTCTTGGGGGCCTCTTGGGGCTTCTTGGGCGCCTCTTAGAACGTTTCGGAGTTTTGCTGAGGCGGAAGAATCGAATTTTCGGTTCGTGGTCCCACTCTTGCGCCCCTTGGGGTCATCTTGGGGCCTTCTTGGGTGCCTTTTGGGCCGTCCTGGGCCCCTTTAGGCCGTCTTGGGGGCCTCCTGGGAGTTTCTTGGGCCGTCTGGAGGCAATATTCCTGGCCCTTTGGGCCGCCTGGGGGCGTCGGAAAACCGAAAAGGCGAGAGAACCACAATTTGCATATCTTTCTTACCCGCAACGCGTATTTCGTGCAGCTCCTACGGCAGGGGAAAAGAGAACAGTTGGAAATGGTTAAAAGACCAACCAGGGAATCCACAGGGAAACCAGGAACTCTGTGCGCGAACGGGAAAATTGTCCCGGGTCAAACGGGCAATTTTTATAGGGTCGAATGGGGGAAAACCGAGGACGTCGAACGAAGATTTTCTGTCGAACGGGGAGTTTGTTTCTTGGTGAGGGTTTTGGTAATTTACAAGGCGCTCAGCCGCTTGTGCAATCCAGCGCCGCGTAGCTCTTTGTTCTGGAGCGGCTTCAGCTGCTACCTTTCCTCTTGTCGGTCGTCATCAGGCATGCGCGCGAATGGAATCTAGGAGGGGGGCGGCCCTGGGCCGATCTCTACTCAACGACGCATCGCCGCGCTACCGCCCCGGACGGCTGGCTTCCAAAATTTGAGATCGATGCCTCGCCTGGACGGTCTCGCTGGGCATGAAGTTTTCAAGACTAGGGCGGCGGGCTTTGGGCGGCGACTCCAGCGCTTGCTCTGGGCTCTCTGCGCTTGTCCTAGATTTCATAACTGCGAGCGCGTTCGGGCGCGCGCTCTTTGCGGAAGTTTTCGAACTCAGGGCTTTGAGCGCAGCATTTCTGTCGTTTCCCAGGCTTCGCCGCCCGACCCGACCAGCCCGTTAGGGCCCCCCCCGCCCGACCCGACCCGCCCGCAATGGTTCGCGCGTGCTCGCTCGCGCATGCCCCGCACTTCACCGCCCCGCCCGCCCGACCCGGTCAACCCGCTAGGGTCCGCCCGCCCGGACCCGCCCGTCGGAGTCCACCCGCTCCGCCCGCTTGGGTTCGCGCGCGCTCGCGCGCGCGCCCCGCATTTTAACGCCCCGCCCGCCCGACCCGACCCGCCCATCAGGGTCCGCCCGTCCGATCCGACCCGCCTGCGAGAACCTCCCGCACACCGCCGCGGGAGCTCGCGGGCCGCGGGGCGGACCGACTGAGCCACCGCAGAAAACGCCCGACAGGAGCCGGCGGCGCCGGCGAAGACGGCGACGGGGACGGCGACGACGGGGGCGACAACAACAACGACGACGCCCGCACACGCGCGAACGAATTCCGATTCGTGTTCTCGGCAGCCCCCGCGTCCACGAACGAGCGACGAGCGACTGGGGGCTAGGGTTGCACGTTCAGATGCGGGGCCAGGATTAGGGTTAGAGGTTAGGGTTAGACAGGGGCAAGGGCGAGGGCAAGGGTTTGGGGTTAAGACACCCTCCCCGCGCGCAAGCCGTCTAGCTCACTCCCACCGGCCCTCCCACCACATAAGTGGCATCCGAGTCTCGGCATAGCCAGGGGTCGCCACTGGATGGACAGCCACTGGGAACCAAAGCGGACGCCAGGTGCGCGACGCTCGCCGCGGGCTCCACATGCGGTTGGCGTGCCATCTTTTAAAAAGCGTGATGCCCCCCCGTCCGCATGGTCCAGGTGCTGATGTGGGGGGGGGGGCGTCAGCATTGTTCTGAGCCTGCGCACAGCAAGCGTCATCATGCGGGCACCACCGCCACCCCTGTAAAACAAACATTACAAAGCGATCGCGGGTGGCCAGCATGATGCCCAAGGCGATGTCGCAACGTGCATTTTGCATTGTGTTTGACACGGATGGTGGTCTTGCACAAAGCGGCCTCGCTAAGGGTGCCCCGCTATTTTTGTCAACACGTGCTCACAGGGCGCCAGCGCACTGTCCAGATTTTGCTGCAAGGTGCACTTTGCAGTGTTCTGTTGACAGAGATTGTAGAGGGCGTTGGCAGGGTGGGCCCCGTAATGTGCATTTTTGTATGGTGTTGTTTTGGTGACAGGGATGGCGGGGGGGGGGCGCGCGGTTCCGGGTTGGCTGCCGGCCAGGTGGGGGAGGGGGTGTTTACTAATAGGGAGCAGCGATTTTGGCTGAAGGGGTTAGGGTTCAGGGTAGGGGTTAGGGTTGAGGAGAAGCCACCCACCCGTGAATGCCAAGCTACCCACCCGCCCGCCAACCGCCAAGCCTACTCCCACCCGCCCCCCCATACACGTAAATAACACCCGAGCCTGAGCACTCAGCGGTCGCCTGTGGATGGGCAGCTACCGGGAACCAAAGCCGACCTCAGGCGCGCGACGCTTGGGCGAGGTGCGCCACGCGCGCCGGGAGCGCCACGCGCGCCAGGCACTCTTGGGGCCCGAG